CGGTGCAGGTTCCAGATGTCAACGAAATTTGAAAATACGGCGATCAAGTCCGCCCTGTCTAACAACGGAGAGGTTGTCTCAAGGCTTTCGATGATTGGCGTTAAGAATAACTTGAGAGCAGTGCGTGAGTGAGGCTTGGTTCATTAGAAGAAGTTAATTTGCAAACGCACCGTGTAAATGAGGTCCAATCCTTCCACATAAGCCCGCTCGGTCACGTAGAATTCCGATATTATTTTCTTCCTGCGCGCGAGTTTGTTCTCGTCGACCTGCAGAGTGTCCCTCCGTTTCCTTATCCTCGCCTTATTGTCGAACGACAGTGGTCTGTTCGAAGTTCGTCGAATAGGCCCTTTCTGTGCCAGTGGGCTCGAGCTAGGGGCTGATGTACCAGGACTGCCAGTGGTCTCCTCCGGGAAGGATTCGAAAGATGCAAGGCTTGCTGAAGACTGCCTGTTCAGAAGCGTCGGAGCTGAAGGTAAAGAAATACGTCTGAACGAGAGAAGAGGTTGCCGTCGATGTGGGGAGGGAGCCGGCGAGGCATTGAGCGAGTCGGTCGATGGGAACGCAACCTTTGCAGGTGGACTTGCTTCATGGTGGCAGAAGAGTAAGCATTTCAAAGCTTGAACATATTCAAGTACTTACACATGGCAGCGAATCCCTGCTTGACCCGTTGAGCACGTCGTGCTGCTCGTCGTGGCTCTCGTCCTCGCGGTCGTCGACGGATGACGATCCTTGCGTGCTGGATCCCCTGCAGGGACGCGCTGTTACCACGGCTCTCGGGGCCAAATTTAGTGGCAGGGTTTTCTATACTCCAGGTGGTCACGGACGCGACAGAACAGGTTGCCGCAAGAGTTCGTTGTCCGCAACGTCCACGACGACGAAGACGCTCGCCGTTGAGCACATTCAACGCGATGTTCTCTCGTCTGGGGGCGTTCTGGTCCGGCGAGCGTTCCGACTACGTGCCTCTTCCCTCCTTCTCTCCAATTGCAGTGCGTTCAGAGATGTCCAGTCGGGCTCGGAGGGTCTTTCGACAACGAAATTTCAAACTCTTCGCCGTCTTGCTTGTATTTGCGCTCTTCGGATTTCTCTGGACGTCAGAAGACATCGGGGAAAACATGCCTCAGCTGCAGGTTGAACCAATTGACCCGTTACACCCGCCTTTATACGAGGAATACGAAGCACATGAATTGGGACTTCCGCAGCACAGTACTTCACTTCCCCCTCCAGATGGCTCCGGCAGACGTTTCCTATTCCCTGCAAACCACATGTGGGGTATACGCACATTTATGCTTATCGCTGTTCTTAATTACTCACTTCATTTGCAGGGATTGGGTTCAATAACGTACTCCAAGAACATCTACTGTTGGCGCAGGTTGCTTATCTGGCCAACTGGACGTGCGTGATTTGCATTCAATTTAGTGTTTAGTCCTAACTCGATGAACGAAAGATTTGTATTTAATCCTTACACATGGCACTGGGATCCTAACGAGCCGTATGGTGATTACGGAGGCAAACCCGTGCCGTCACGCATTCCATGGCACGCTTTTCTACAAGGTAATGGAGAGAAACATTGTTATTTAGACATGCCAATTGACGTTTTCGAAGGGCCTCTTGTAGGAGATACTTTTCCCGACGGTTATACCCATCCCCGGGCTGTCCGGAAGGAGTTCTTCAAAGAAATCTGTCCTCAACCTGAAATCATTAATAGCTCAGTCGTCGGGATTCACTTCCAGGAGAACTATCCCGCGGCTATGGAAATCACTAACGCTTGGGTTGATTATCTTCAAACTTTAGACAATCCATGTATTGAGATAAACGGCTGGTCTCCACACATCTTCGATGTCGGGTACGTCGATCATAAAATCCAGGTTATTTTTGACTGATATCGTTGTAGGGCTTTTATGACACCAAGGATCTCCACCATTTTCGATTCTCTCATGCACTCGCCACTTCTTAGGAACCTGGAATGGTCTTCACTTGTCGAATCAGTCATTTCAATGAACATTCATTTATTGCGACCAAAACTAACTCGCTTGCAACGCATATGGGCGAGTTTCGCTCGCTTCCTTGGCCCACAAGCCGACGACACACCGTCGACGACGTCCTTCCCGGGCCTCCTTGCCATGCATGTGCGTCGTGGGGACTACGAGGTGCACTGCTACGCTTTAGAAGAGCTTATGGCACCTATGCAAGGATGGTATACGCTCCCAGGCATTCCTGACCGATTTGTACCTCCTCCGGGCAACAAAACAGAAGAACAGCACAAGTACTTCCGTGACCATTGCTGGCCCACGATCGATCAGATGGTCAACAAAATACGTGATGTGCGTGCGACGAAGGAGGGCGCAGGTTTAAATTCTGTGTACATCATGACCAACGGCAATCCAACCTACGTCGCCGCTTTGGAAAAAGCAATCAGCGAGTTGGGCGGCTTCAAGGTGATTTCGAGCAGCAGGGATATGGTCTGGACGCCAGAGGGTAAATACATCTCTCAAGCAGTTGACATGGCAATTGCGAATCGTGCTCAGATATTTATTGGGAACGGGGTGAGTAACGGTCATTTACATACATATTTCTCCGCTAATTCGGCACAGTTTTCGAGCTTGAGCTCGAATGTCGTTCTCATGCGTTTCAAGGATGACATGCCGCCTGGGTCAAATCGCATGTGGTGACACTGGTCGAAGTGTTTGGTTTGCCTTGTTCACTTGCTTTGCCAATTAGAAGATACCGTCCCGTCTATATTGAACCTTCACGATTCGATCACGTACGATATATCCATCATGACACTTTGGGCACTGTTCAGTAAATTATTTTCTTGGTCGCTTATTGTACAATTTTATACACGAGTACAGGTAGAGCATAGTATAGTTTTGGTGATGTTCGCCATTGCCTTGCAAGCTGCATTTCTTTGCAGCCAAAACGAGACCGCCAAGGCAGGACGTCGTGATGCGCTCGGAGATCCAGAGCCCGCCTGAGACGCGAAGATGAGCTCTCGCGCTTTATCTGCATCAAATTCGCGAAGGCATCTACACCGAGGTTACTTTGCAACGTACTGCTCTCTTTCTTGTTGACTGTAATATTTATCACGACGTTGACATGAAGTGCCTACTATTCTCAGGTGCACTCGTCGGCGTCGTCAGCCTCGCCTCCCTTTTCGGTCTTTACTACGCGTCGAAGGTGTACGACCATCCTCTTGACTTCAGACCTCTGCAACCCGTCGCCCACCGTGACACGGTGGTGAACGAAACACATCCTCCTTTATACGAAGACCTCGATTTCCAGGAATTATCGCTCCCTCAACATGACGCGTCTCTTCCGTATCCCGAAGGAGGTGGTGGAACGTATTTCTTTCCTGCGAACAGGTTATGGGGTGCGTGTCACGAACACTTCTTGTGACGGCTTCGAGATTCTAATAGCAGACAGGTGTGGACTTCAGCGATGCTTTCCAGGAGCATCTGCTATTAGCGTACATTGCGTACAAGGCCAACAGATCGTACGTCCGCTCAATCGCGCCCATGTCGATTTGCAGCTATGTTGAGACGTCGGGTCAACAGATTCGTGTTCACACCTTTTACGTTGGGCTCGAATTTGAGTGAGCCTTATTCAATTAAAGGAGGAAATACAGTTCCCTCTCGTATTCCGTGGCATGCCTTCGTCGAAGGTATGTTTGGACATTCTATGGCCCCTTCCGAGCCAAAGTATAACAATCAACAGGACCGGCTTTTGGTGACGCATTTCCTCCTGGAGACCAAGCACCAAGAGCGGTTCGCAGAGAATACTGGGATACCGTATGTCGCTGGCCAAAAACTATCAAAGCTTCATCTTTCTCCTTCGGATTGTGGAATCCAAAAAATCAAAATATTGCGGACGTCACGAACGACTGGGTCAAGAACTGGACGGACTTTCAAGCCGATGCGTGAAGGTACCCGAAGGATCTCCTCATATCCTGAACACTGAGTAGGTTATGATGTTTTCAATTACCTTGTCAAGTGCTAAGTCCTACTGGTTCAGAGCCTTCACGAGACAAGGGGTAACAGAAGTATACGAAGACTTCATCCGATCCCCCATAATTACACAATTAAGGTGGTCTCCACTCGTCGAGTCTGCTATCCAACAAAATCTACGCACGTTCCTTCCTTTTGTTTCCCCGCTCTCACCGTCATCAAGTAACACGCTGCAATCATATAAAGGCCTACTCGTTGTTCACCTTCGCATGGGCGACTTTGACGTCCAATGCTACAAATTTCACAAGGAATCAACACAAGCTCGAGGATGGTCAGAACTTCCAGACATTCCTGATAAGTTCGATCCACCTGCCGAGGAGGAATGGGAAGCGCGTCACGACTACTACTATAAATCGTGTTCCCCGTCCTTTTATCAAATCATCAACAAGCTGAAGGCCATCCGAGAGTCAGACCAAGGCAGAGGCATACGTTCACTCTATCTGATGTCCGACGGCACTCTGGATTACCTTAAGAACTTGGCAATTGTCCTAGTCGAAGACGCTGGTTGGGAGTTTGTGTCGACCAGCCGAGATATGGTATACGACCCGGAGCAGCTGTTTGTATCCCAGGCGGTAGAATTGGCCATCGCGCAACGGGCAGAGCTGTTCCTCGGAAATGGGGTGCGTACTTTATTTCCGACTGCTTATGTGCAAGATGTGACAAGCTGATCCTTCCTGAAATTTCAGTTTTCGAGCACAAGCTCCAATGTTGTGCTGTTACGACTCGCAAACAGAATGCCAATCGATTCGAATCGAATGTTTTGACGCCTCATCTTTGGCACTTGCTACATGGAATCCTCTAATCTGCACTCGCCTGACTTATATACTTGATACATGAAATACTGCAATGCAATGAGTTCTTGAGCTACGTGTGAGGGAGAGAACATTTCGCACAAGAACTGCAAAGATCACCAAAAAGTCGGAACGAGTAATGATACCTTTCAACAAATCACAATATACACTAATCAAAATGTATGCTAAATAATCAAGGTATTCCATCGCCGTGATAGCTCAGTTGGGAGAGCAGTAGACTGAAGCATTACGTAATACGGCTTACGTAAGCCTTCTAAAGGTCACCCGTTCGATCCGGGTTCATGGCAAGAACTTTTTTGAATCTTCAGACAATTTTTTGTTGATTTTGAAGGATGAACAAGCGTTTTTTTACATGAGGAATGAGCCAAAGAATGCGCATCGCGTGGCAATGTCCTGCCGGTCAGGATTTGAACGACCCTCCAAGTTGGCGAAGTCATTTGAAATTTGCAGTCAGGTGAGGCATTCATGTCGGCTTGAATTGTTGCTGCTGCATGTAGTATTATGTGTGCCTGAGTTCATCTTGTCTTTGTCTTTTGGCGTCTAGAAGAAGTTGATTTGCGTCATACACCAGTATGCGTGAATTCGAGATTTGAGCTTTCGAGACTGGTATGACCCTGCATACGCAGATACATTCTACATTTGCACAAATACATTGAATGTGAGCGCTGATACACATACCAGCAACAAATGTTTCTTAGAGTGCCATGGACCTGGAAAGCGTCAAGTCCCTACGGCTTTGCGATTGAAGTTCAATCCTCCTGAGTCTTCTTTTTAACTTTCGGACGACAGTATGATGATACAAGAAGCGTCTTGTGAGGGGTTGCGTAACTTCATACGAAGATTACACGCATATGTGTAAAGGCAAAAAGCTGTTGTTCTTGTCCCTTCGTGAGTGGAGTCGGTAGAACGGCCACCGAGAGAAGGATGAAGCGCTGACAAGAAAGTTTGATAAGAATACCGTTGGTTGGGAGACACCGAAGAGGTTCGAGTAAACAGCTGGAAACATTGAGAGGTTGAGCCAGGCCTATAAATATTGCTTTAATTTGGTAATCCTAGCATCGAGAACTAGGAGGCTTTTAGCTGGCCAGTGAAGTCTTGAATTTTTCTTTCGTTCGTCTTTCTCGCCGAGGTTATTTCTATTATGTAAGACGACCTTGGGCGGTAGCAGTGATGATCGGAGCAGTTGTCAGTTGATGTTGTTTGGGTAACTGTGCACCTTGGCTAATCGCTGAGCTCGCCACTTGAGATATAGAAACTGTCTATCTCCTCTTTCAGGGCGTGGCATTTCGCGACCTCTTGATCCCATGGGCCGAGACTGTAATTGCGTTTGAGAGCTTCCCATGCAGTCATCTCAATACGAGGTGTTCGTCGTGTGAAGTCGTCGAGGAGTAATCTTGTTTCCTATGTCCGAATTCCTCGCATTCGAAGCAGCTTTCACCAAATAGCCTTACTCGCGGGTTTAAGCCCATGATATTGTTTCTTGACCTGTCGATCACTTGCGAACTAAGTTATCGTATCCATGTCCAGTAGTGCTGCAGTTTTGCCTTGAACCAAACAGCCTATTATATGCGCATAAATTTGAAGTTTGGCTGCGATGGACGGGAAAGCTCACGCTTCAAAAGCTCGGCTTATGATCTGAGCCGCCTAGATAAAAAAAAACATTGGCTGTCATTGTTATGCAGATGCGGTCATTTCAACGTCGAGCCTATTGACGTATGGAAAAAAACCATGGAAGGGGTACGCACCATCGCGTCGTCTGCATCCTTTTCCTGGCGAACGTGTCTGGTAGATCAGTGCTGAGCTGCAAGGAAAAGTTTGAGACTAGTACAAACCATGTTCATCACTTGCTCAGCATTAAGCAGAGCAAGCTCCTCGCCGTAGACGCTCCCCGTCTCATTGATTAATCTTTACTTCCTCTTGTAACGATACTCTGAGTCTAAGCGTTCGTTCCCCTCGGGTAAAATGCGACTGACTTGGGACGCGTCGTGAAGACGATGACGTTTGGCGACACGGACTCGTACTCGTCTTGACGGTCTTGTGGGGCCGACGTCGGCACAGTGACGGCTCCTGGCAGAACGTTAGCTTTTCTCGCTCCGTTCATGGCGTAGCAGCAAGTGGTGGTGGTGGTGGTGGTGGTAAGAGAGAAAGAGCGATCGACGCGTCTCACAAGCATCCGCGAATCCGGATCGAACGGGTTACTTTTTGGCATGGATCGATGCCGTTCGATCCGGGCTCATGGCATCTTTTTGCATCTTCAAACTATCTTATTCATTTGAGAGAAGAAGAAACTTTTGTTCTCCTTCAAATGCTTGAGAAATTTGAAGTTTGAGGCCGTCACGGTAATGGACGCGCCTCCGAGTCGCGGGGCAATGCTGTGCTGCTTCAGTACTAGTGCTCGCGTGATTCTTTCTCCACAGAACGCCTCCTCGTCGTCGACGAAGATACACAACAATGCTTTCGAATCATCCTCCGGCGGGTGAGTCTGTCGGATGAAAAAGAGAAGACAAATTGAAACTTTGGGTTCTTTTAAGTCAAAGTTGGAGGGCGACGGCTTTCCCAATCTTCAAAGGCGAAGCCCGTTGTGGGGACGTGAGTCTCTCTCCATCCTCAACGTGAGCTTTGATGTCAATGCATATGTTCAAGGGAGACGCAAGCCGTACAGCCTACGGGCACAGAGTCTACAGCGACAGACTATCCTAGGCCAACCCCCACCTCGGATGACGATAAAGAGAAGAAGAAACAGGGTTACATGGACCCTCAGGAGATGGACAAGAAGAAACCGACCGCAGAGTCCAATCACAAGAAACATGTCGACGCATCCAAGTCACCCAACACTGCTACGAACAAACGAGATCAGGCGACGAGAATAAGCCAGCCTCCAGGTAGAGGACTGGAATTTTGATGCGGATGAGGTCCGAAAACACAAACACTTAGCGAATACCAGCATCATTCAATAATGCGCTCGTCGGTTTCATCCGTTCCAGCACAATCTTGGAGTCTGCTCTTGCCGTGCAACCTATTAGCATACGACATGGTTTGTACATACATGAACGAAAGCAAGTAATGGAAAGAATCATCAACTCCGTCAATCGGAACGAGGTCGTCGAGAAGAAAAGCAGGATCGCAACTGTGATGGGACAATTGTCAGCACGACGTTCCAATCCAAAGCGCATGAAGAGAAAGATGAAGCTGATGACATGTGTCCTCGTCAAATAGTCAGATAAACGCATTTTGACGCGACCTGATAGAACAGACGAAACTTCCTCATGCGAAGAAGTCGGGTTCACTATTGCAAACATGTCCACGCCCAACCTTCATTCCGCCTTTCGACAGCTCCGGTGGGTTCTAACGAGAATGCGTTCGAGTCGATGGTAGAAGAAACAGGAAGACGGAATCAAACAAATCACTCTTCGCACTCACCAGCTCTCATGCCGATGCAGCCTTTGCCTTCTTCCCCCGGACCTTCTTCTCTGGTTGAGGCTTCTTGACAGAGCGAGCTTCTTGAAGAGCGGAGACACGAGCGATAACAGCCTGAGTGTGCAATTCAACGTTTAATCAACGAATCTAGAAAATATTCTAAGCATATTCATTACCTTCCTGAGGTCAGATCGGTATCCGCGCTTTGCGTGTGATGAGGCAATACCGAATGAGCGGCGGGACCCAGAGTTGTTGCGGATGGAGGAGGTGCGCTTGGATCCCTTGACGGCATGAGGGGAGGCTTTGGTCGTCTTGGTCGTGACTTGGATGCCAGATGGTGACTCCTGAACGTCGATGGTCTTGGTGTTGACAAGTCCTGAGTACTTGTAAGAGTGGATGTTCATTGGGTTCCCCTATACACCAACAATATGTTCAGCGAAAGCCGAGCAAAGGAAGATTCGAAACGCACGGGCTCCTTGGAGAAGATAGGTCCCTCACGAACCCTCTTGACCATGAAAGCATTGGAGTTCTGATTGAGAGATTCAGTACACCGGCGTGAAGCAATCATACAAGCATACTGACGCGGACGAGGAGCCACTGGAGATCGGCAGACATTTTTGAGGATTTTATGAGGATTTCCGCGAAGACGAGCTCACAACGACGAAGCCTCCGAAAAGTTTCTTGCGGGCAACTGTACAGTTGCTGACGTAGCTTTAGTCTCTCACGACCTGCATTTGGCAACGTGATCGGCGACACGCGTCGCGTCGCGTCTTTCTTTCTGGCAGTTTGCAGACCGCCTCTGCTGGCGCGTCCTTCAAGTTGCTTCCGCAGGTCTGAGAAAAATTTCGCGCTTAATTTCCCTTATACTGTCTCACATGGCATCCTCTAGAGCAGATATCGGAAGCGGGTCCCCTTCGGAGGTTTTGACGACGAAAGCAGGGGGAAAAACTATGGAATACGACGTTACTTCCTTGGCGCAGGGAGCTGCTGGCAATTCCCCCTCTCAAAACATGATCGATGAATGCGGCGACAACTCTCAGTACTTGGAGCAACTCGATGCAACGCCAATTAATCAATACCGCTCGCCCTCCAAAGGGGAGCAAGGGGAGACAGCGGCCTCGCCGCAAGCAGTCTCGTCTTCAAAGACAAAATCTACAGAATATGTTGGCTAAAAATGTGGAACGTTATGCCGCAAGGAGATTTGATAGAGAAGCACAAGCTGAGGCCCCAGCACATCCCCCTTTATTGGTACTCGAAGCATCATTCGACCACGATTCACATCCTCAAGACACCGGCGAGACCGACGATGCAGTCGTTTCCGCTCGCCCTCCGAAAGGGAAGAAAGGACAACAACGTCGGAGGAAACGCTCTCTTGTTCAGAAGCAGAACACGAGGAATATGCTGGCTAAGAATGCTGAAGTCCGCGCAGCGAAGAAAGCTCATCTAGCTACTTGATAGCTACTGGCAGAATGAGGCCATCACTGCGCCGTTTTCTGACGGTACGAGCCTTGCACACCCGTCGTCAGTGGCCTTTATTTATGCAGTGACCTGTTTATCAGGCCCGACTACGCTCTTTCGTCAAGATGCTCAGCCGTTAGCTTACAGACACAAGGAACTGCCATTCGTTAGGTGATATTATAAGCTTTCTCCTAATCATATTCTATACGCCGCACGGCAGCGACATCACTGAAGTTCCTCGTGTGATTGCATTCCCCAAACATGCTGAACGTATTGAATGTTCCTCGTGTGATTGCATTCCCCAAACATGCTGAACGTATTGAATGCATAAAAGTAGTTAATTTGCAGAAGAAAAGGAATCGTAAAAAAAGTTACGTTACTACGGCTGGAATCATGAAGGTGCTACATTATG